TGTTTGCTCACATGCATGCCAGCCAATATCCTGTATCTAAAAGAACTTTAGACAGGATATTGGCTGACATGTTTTATAACAAAAAAAAAGAAATGAAGATGCCAGCAACCAAGAAAGCCGAAAGAAATGCAAAACGCGCGGCATATAATAGAAAAATGGCTGTAAGTATAGTACTTTTTTTTGTTTATTAATTCTAACTTTTTTATTACCATATACTAGAAACTTGCCAATAGAAAATCAGTCATTGAGGACAACCCAGGTGATTATAACGACAGCATATACCCTGGCCTCAATGACTTGATGGTTGCTGGCTGGATGTCAGAAGAAGAGGAAACAGAAGAAAAGGACCTTAATGATAATGAAATCATTAAGGTCCTTCGTCCATCGTTCAGAAGTAGAGAGGTAATATTAATTTATTGTTAAGATTAATACATGTGTATTATTATATAGTACTTACTTTTTTTTATCTGGTAAAGTTCAATGAACTGATGGACAAACTTGACTTCGAGTGGAGAAATCCACTCGAACCTGCTTTGAAGAAAAGAAGAAGCAATCGTTCTGTCAGGCAATATGTCTTGAAAAATATACCCTTTCCCAGCCATCTTAATAAAGATGATTTCCCTGGCTGGGCATTCAATTAATTTTTTTTTACCTTGTCTCTGTTTCTTTCTTTTGCTTTTTTTCTTCTTCTTTTTTTATCTATACTTAAAAAAAAATAAAAAAAATGTTAACTATTAATATAATATAAATTATTTAAATATAAAATCAAAGTTATGATTGCGTTTCAGTCATATACTGATAAGATGATAACATAAGTATATTCGAGTGCAATATAAAGAAAATTCTTCAGAATCAACCAATTGTTCTTCTGGGTAAAGGCATTGCAAGAATAGTGTTATCAATATATTTCATAACAGCCACACAAGTATGAATTTGCTGTACTGGTAGTATTGATAAAGCACTTGATGGTTCAAAAGCTTCTTTCCAAACCTGGATATTATGTATATTGAAAGAATCGAATTCTTTGTCAGACTTTTGATACCATTGAACAAATGCAAATAAATGCTGTTTATTTTGAGGAGTGCCGAACAAGTTATCACCAGGAATAATCAAGTCATGAGAAAAGAAGTATAGGATTCGACCTACTCTAAAAATACCCTCTTTTGCAGGAACCATAGCCTGAATAAAAGCACCACGTTTTGTTCTGCTTTCTACAGATCTAAACAATTGTCCAAGTATATCAATGCGAT